AGGATGGAGTTAAGGAAGAAGACTTCTCAGCCTCATTCTCAGCGAAAACATTGTAGTTGCCCAGCCCTTATGTTACATTTAAATACAAAAAAGCAGAATCTGAAAGCTGGCAAAGAGTAGTAAAATCTTTAAAATGCATCTGTGATTTTCTATTAAAGTTTTGATTGGAAATAATGCTCATGAATAGATTTATGCTTTAAAGCAAGTCTCCGAAGTCTGCTTTTTAAAGCAAATTCTAAAACAGGTTTCTTCCTTAATTCAAAATGAATTTTATTGATTATTATTATTATTATTATTATTATTATTATTATTATTATAGCATTAATGTCAAAGGTGAAGTATTCTTCATGGTGAATTTATACAAAAACCAGTTTAGTAAGAAGGTGTGTGACAACTAATTTTATTATAATGATAATACTGGTTTTTATCTGTTTAATGTTGTGAGACTTTATTATACGTATGTTTTTTTTTTAAATTTTACTTATAAATAGGCAGGTCCTGTGAAGGTTCTGAAGGTTCTCTAACCGAATGAGAAAACAGAGTAATCTATAACAAACCTGCTCTCACGGACTGGAGCAGACCATCTCTGGCATCCTTGGCTTTTGTAGCAAATAGCTCATGAGAAATTTTGCACAAATTTGCTTAGACCTGAATAAGGTCTTTGCAAACTGCTATCTCTGTAGAATGCTAATGGTTTTTATACTATTAAAATCTGGGATAGGTCCTGTAGACGCTTACTGTGTATTTTGCCTAACTGCTGCATGTAAGAATAAAGACTTTTCCTCTTTCACCTCAGGAAAATAGCTAACAAATGAAGGTTAGACTGGGTGGCACAGTGACTCAGTGGAAAGCACAGTTCCTCCTTTTCTGTGTGTGTGTGTGTGTGTACCTGCCTGCGTGCGTGGATTAGGTTTATATTACATTGTGAGGACCACATGACCCCCACAATGTGATAAAAACCTATTATTTTGACGTTGGCGGGACCATTTTTCATGTTCCCAGAAAGATCTGTGAATGCAATCAAAAAACTAAAAATGCCAAAAGTCTTTTGTTTGGTTACTTATGGTTAAGGTTAGGGCTGGGTAGGGGTTAAGGTCGTCATGTTGGGATTAGAGTTTTCCCCATAGAAATTAAAGGAGAGCCCCCACAAAGATATAATTACATACCTGTGTGTGAGCATGCGTGTGTGTGTCTCTGTGTGTGTGTGTGTGTGTGTGTGTGTTTGTGTGTGTGTGTGGGTGGGTTTCCACCAGAAGTCCAAAGACATGCAGTTGGGATAAGTGGCATCTTCAGATATCCAGTGATATATGAGTGTGTTTGTCCTGTGATGGACTGGCATACTGGCATACTGGCATACTGGCACACATTCCAGGACGTCTCCTACCTCATACCCAGCTGGAGATGAGGTCCAGGCTTCTTGCAGCCCTGTTCAGGGTAACTGGTTAGAAGATGGATGGATGCTTTTGACTCTGCTCATCTTAACTGAAAGGCCTCTGAATGCTGCTGATCCCATTTAACAGGTGATCTCTCTTTAGATATAGTGATGTTCACACCACTATTAACTGTTCGATACTGATGTCTGTGGAATGACAAGAGTTACACAGTGACACATGTCTCTTTGAGTCATAGCTGCTTACTGTAGTTTAACCAGAACAATATCGAACATTTCTACAGTTGGAAACTCAAGAAAAAATGGCCCTAACCCACCATACTCTTGCAAAGACGTGCTGCATCTAGAATCCAACTAAAGAACGGTTAAACCATCTATCTTCCAACAGCTTATCCTGGAGGGGGGGGCTTGGAGCCTATCCCAGACAATGTAGAGCACGAAGCAGGGGTGCACCCCGGGTGGAATGCCCGTCTGTCACAGGACACGCACCTATGCATTCACGTTCACAATCACAGTCACGGTTTTGGGTTTTTTTTTCACACTGAGACTGAATCTCAGTATGTTATGTTGTTCCTTGTAGCCTGTGTACAGGCTTTCATTCATTAAATAGCAGACACATTTTTGATACCGTCACACAATAATTATCATAACCAGAAACACTGTAATTACTGCACAAATATAATGATACATACAGTAACTGTCAAATATTTGGACACGCCAAGTCACCTACGAAAGAGAGTAATAGTGTGTCGCATCACATGACCTGGCCACATGACCTAAACACAGTAGAAATTATTTTGACCACAGATTGAAGGAAAATCGACCAATGAGTGCTTAGCATACGTGTGGGATCTACTTCAGGACAGCTGGAAAAGCATCACATGAGGCCAGCTTATGAAGCCAGCATAGAGAAGACAGTAGGATCAGCCAGTCCCTGTAGCAATTGGGGTTAAGGGCCCATTGGGGTTCAAGGGCCCAGTGGTTGGATCACTCTGTCAACCACAGGATTTGAACCGGCAACCTTCTGAGTCTTAACCTACAGAACTGTCCCCACCAACAAATATATATATATTTTTTGTTTAATATTTGTTTGGTCTTTGTTCCATGCATAATTCCATATATGTTATTTTATTTAGAATTTTCATGTCTTTATAATTATTGTAAAATGTACGGAATAGTACAAACAAACCTTTCTATGCTTAGGTGTGTCCAAACTTTTGACAGGTACTGTATGATGTTACCCAAAGAGACCTTTAACAGATTGAAAATGAAAATTTTTCCAGATAGTAATTGGGATAGGTTTTGATATCACGATGTAATACTGATCCTCCACCCTCAAGCTCCGCCTTTTCCTGGACTTTAACTAAGACATCATCTGCTGGCTGAATTATAAATTTGCTTCACATCCTGTTTCAGCAGCATCTGGTTTGCACAAACAGGAATCCTGTAAGGTGACCCCATGACATTAAATCACAGAAGCATATGCGAGTGTGAACGAAGCTTTAGAGTAAAATTAAATTATCCTACCTGTGTCTGAGGTTAGAGACACTTGGTTCACAGACACAGGTGGCCAGAAAGTTGTCTATAATTAGACGCTATAGTAACCAAAGTGTCTGCTGAAGCTGTTCCTTTATATTGGTAAGAAATTAATTAAGCTGCAGATAAAAGTTGGCTTTTAGTTCCATTTGATATATCGCAATGTGTTTTTCTGTTTATTAAATTAATAGAAAATATCGGGGATTTCAATTTCTTAAGATCGACACAAAGTAAATACACCAAATATTAAATATTAATGCATATTTTACAGTACATCCTTTATTAAGGGATGCCCTGATGTATTACAATGACACTTCTAAGCAATCCAAGACGGAATTTTTCTTAAATATTTAATGAAAGCTCAACCTTCAAAACTGGAGACGGCAGCACATAACCCCTGTCCTCTTTGTAGTGCTCTCTACTTTGGCCAGAGTTCCTCTATTATGGATGCGTATTGCAATCTGATGCCCATCATTTTGTCCATTAATAGTTAATTCAGTTACACAGTTTTGCTTCAGAGCTTATGAGAAGTTCTTAGTGCACAATAAGCTTTTAGAATGTATTTGCATTTATCTAAAAACAAATAAAAAAACAACAACACACACACACGCATCTGTATATTTGAACAACTCAGCCAAACTGGCAATAGTAATTGTGAGTTTTTTTGCATTAAAGCTGGTCTGTTTTAGGAGATGAATAGAAGCACATGAGACTGCCATGTCAATGACTGCCCACTAGATGGCAGGTTTTGATTATGACTGTTGAATATAGAAGTACCATAGGATTACGTTCACTCTGCTTTAAGGCTGTATACATTATACACAACATTATCACCTTTAATGCTACTGGTCCCTTTATTTCTGAGACAGTTCTGATCCTGTTTTTTCCATCATATTCAAATTGAAAGAATCCAATACTGATGAAGGTGCTTTCTTACTAAGTAAGGTCCTGATTTGCATTTTACTTGATAATATTCACCAAAATCAATCTCTTCTTCTGTCTCTTTTTGTGCGCTGGACTTCGAGTCTCTATGTAGCTGCCAGAGAAAACGACACGCTCAGACAAGATGAGTGCTGCTGCTTTTAACAGCTCATCAGCCTGTACGTCCTAATGTTCCCAAGCAAAGAAACTCCACATGAATTTCGGTGACCTAGTGTGGCTGAATCAGTGAGTCTGACGAGTCTGACACCGGACTGAACTTACGGCACAATCACTTCATACCCACTAAAATTGCATAATGTTACTTATACTGGGATTATTTATTATACAGCACTGGGCCAGATCTTAATGAAAATCATTTAAAAACTGCAGAATCGGGCTGCAGCAGAGTGTCATTTTATGTCTGAAATATGCAGAATTCCGTGTAATGTTTGCATTACATGAGGAGGGATTTTCCTTCTGGCTGCTGAAAATGCCTGGAATACATCAGAAGGTGGATAAAACCGGCTCTTGTAAGCAAACAATTGCTGCATTATCATCAGCATGTTCAGCACTGATCTGAGATGCCTGCAGATTCCAGGCAAATCGAAACCTGTTTCGACATTTTTACAGCAACAAACGTGCTTTCGGGAGGCTGGACCACCCACACAGAAGACGGAGGAATGCTGTCTACATAACTGCCAGGGGTCAATATCAACTCAACAGCACATAATAATAATGATAATAATAATCATAATAATAATAATTTGATATTGTGGGGTACATCATGAGGATGGCAAGATGATCAGGGTTTTACAGAGAAGAACGTCAGAGGAACCCCCTCAACACAGATGCCATCACCTTCAACATGCTGCAGGGTGAGTCAGCAATTTCCTGGCAGCCAAAGCACATTCCACAAAATGCACAATTGCTCGCATTAAGGAAATCTATAACCTGCCTTCGTAAGTGGCAGCACACTGCCCAGCCACGAGGCCGAGTAGAGGCTAAAAGAATGGCCTTTAAGCTGGATTCCCAGGAGAAGCCTCATCGGTGTGCCCTTCATCTAAGTGCATAACCGCTGCGAAACACCCATCCATATAAAAGGCTAAAAACTGTAGGGTTCATCATACCCAAGAATCAGCCGAACTGTAAAATGTTGTTTGCCATATCTGCACTTTAATAAACATATTTGTGCGATTGTTGGTTTAACGCTTCAGGACTAAATTGAAGAGACATTCCATTATACACAAAGTGAATCAGGACATGTCCACAACTGTAACTTCGAAGGCATATTGCTTAACATCTGCGATACATGTCAGCTGGCCACTGCCAGCCTTCTTCACACTCAGTTAACATCCGGATTGCATGTTGCCTCAGCTCCAGGCTGAGCTTCCACCTGCTGTCGTGAGGAAGGTCTGGATGAGGAAGGCCTTGCTTCTGGGTCTGGGGATGGCTCATATGCCTGTTCAGCTTGACGTGGCTCGGGGGTCATTTGCTTTAGTTTAAGAGAAGAAAATGTGTTAAAATGTGAACTTCATGCAACTCCTTGTGCTGTTTAGTCATCATTTGGGAAACATGTGATAACTCACATATCTGTGCCAACTCACTGTATTTTCCAGTATGTGGGTATCAGCCTCTCTGTCCCCAGCACTGCCACCTGTTTTGTGGTAGCCCTGGCTGGGGACCCTGTTCCTGCTACACTGTTGGCGCTGCCCCCAACGTTTCAGCCGCTCCTGACCTTCCTGTGAGCGGGCTGTAGGGTTTATCCGAGCGGGGGGAATCCGGGCCGGGAGGTCCCACGTGCCCACGAACATCCACCTGTCCCCCCCCTGAAAAAGAGAGAGACAAAAACGATCACGTTTTTTTGTTTAGCTGCCTCCTAGAGGGGGGTCATGGAACGGCCGCCAACCTTTGCTTTCATCCCTGGGAGCAGATGTCCTTTGTCGGTTGCAATAAATGTTGTGTGACCATCCATGGCCCTCGGTCTCTGAAGTTCGACATCAAACATGAGGGTGCAAAGTTGTTAAATGTAAATGTCACTGGAAAGATTTGTAACAAAACATTGTGCACAATACCTCTTTCGAAGCCTTTGGCAGTGTCCAGTTCTGGAGTCTTTGCGACTTGAAAGCATTTTCGTACTAAAAAAAAAAACACCTCAATAAATTAATAAGCTGGCTTTGTGAATTTTTTTTAAATATATACATGGGTAAAAGAATTATGTTCGAAATCTTTTGAATACCTGATTTGCAGAAAAGCTAGACGCCATGCTTCGCTGTGTTGTCGACACTGGTATCATAGCAACCGAGGGACGCGTTTCCTTTAAGCCGGAATGCTTGACCTGCAGGGGGGAGGCGGGGGCGGCTAATTCAGGGGCAAATTATTAAAAAGAGTAATGTCATTTGGACGGCTGCTGGACACCTGAACAGAGAAAAACCTAAATTCGCAACTTCTCACCACCGCATTAATATGTCCGTTCACACATAGTTAATCCACTCACGCATCACATTTTGATGAAAAGTGTAGCTTGTTTGTGGGCGGCAGGGTGGCTCAGAGGGGGGTCGAATCCCGCCTCCGCTGTGTGTGTGTATGTGTGTGTGTGTGTGTGTATGAATGTGTATGTGTGCTGCTTGCGTGGGTTTCCTCCCGCAAAACGCGAATTGGCGTCTTTAAATTGATTATGAAAAGTTTGTGCGCCTTGTTACATCCCATCCAGGGCTGCCCCCTGCTTTGTGGCCTGTGCTGCCTGGGATAGGCTCCAGCCTCAAAGTGACCCATTACAGGTTATGGAGGACGGCCAAATATTTTACCCATCTGAAACAATCGGAAATGCCTTATATAACCATTTTTTGTTGACGCAGTTTTCTTATTGCTTTCATATTTGAATTCATTAAATATTTACAGCAAGCTATGCTTGTGTTCGATGTCTACTCTGCATCTTTAGCAAATATATAAAGAACTGTGGGCATTTTTTGACACCAAATTAGAGATATAAGTAATAATGTTAACAACGACGTTATTTGGCTGACCGTTTATTGAAAATAGATCGATTAAATTATTTAATAATTCATACAAGTGCAGTCTACTGTATACCTCGCACCAATGTTTTTCTGGTACTTCGCATTGCGTAGGCGGGCGGCGCTGTTGCAAATACTTCAGACTCCGTACGACAGGGGGCGCGCTTCCTAAATCAGGATCTTAAACCGGAATGCGACGATTTGAAGAAGAACAAAATGGCGGAAGTGGCATGTTTGAATTCATTGCTTGTAGTTTCTTGAGTTCGCTGCCTGCTTTTTCTGTTATGCATTAATGAAAATAATTGAATGATAAGTGTGATTTTCGAAAATACTGGAGTGAACTCCAAAATGCAGTTTTTGTCTTTAGATCGTTGCTAGATGTACCCATCGGTGTCAAATACGTCAAAATTTTACACTTTAATCGGAAACGAGGACATGGAAGTAAAGCCGAAGCACGCCAGCAGCCCGGCCATGAAAGCACCGAATGAAGCTGAGTCGGACTGCAGCGCAGACATGAAGACGCATTTTCGTGTTTGTCGCTTCATCATGGAAACAGGTACAGGTCCAGGTCCGATCGGCTGCTCAGATTCTTCCCGAGGGGCGGGACCAGGCCTCATTTTCTCGTGTCCTTTTTGCATGTAGGTGTAAAGCTGGGAATGCGCTCCATCCCCGTGGCTACAGCCTGCGCTTTGTACCACCGGTTCTACCAGTCCGCCAGCCTCCAGGTGTACGAGCCATACTTAGTGGCCATGTCTGCCATCTACCTGGCTGGCAAAGTGGAAGAGCAGCACCTCAGGACGAGGGACATTATCAACGTGTGTCACAGGTAGCTTTGGGTTGGTCGGGATGGTGTAGGGCAGGGTTCCCCAGTTTCGGACCTGGATGGCTAGAATCTAACACAGTTTGCAGATTTCCCTTCTCAAATACTTCTAATTTAGCTCAATACCAGGTTTAGTAGGTGTGACTGAGCAGAGAAATCTTCGCCTTCCAGGAGTGCAATTGGGGACTTCTGTTGTAGTGTAAGATCTGTTTGCTGCACATCTCTTTGCTAATAGTATTTTTATTCTTGCTAGTTTTATGCTTGGTACTGCTTGGTTATCTTTCACCCATTGCATTTCTCTCTTCCCAGGTACCTCCATGCAGGTAGTGAGCCCTTAGACCTGGACAGTGAATTCTGGGAGCTCAGAGATAGTGTGGTCCAGTGTGAATTACTCATCCTCCGGCAGCTCAATTTCCAGGTCTCCTTCCATCACCCGCATAAGGTGCGTACTGGTTTGTTCCCCATAGGGCTCCACCTTCCCATTGCTTAGAGCATGTCCTGCCTTCAAGACTGGAGCTCTTGCAGTGACTTCTCTTGGGGAGGGTGGCATGTTCGCGTGGGTCTTCACGGTCGACGCCGTGACTTGGTGCAGCCAATGCGGAGGCTAAAAGTGAAAGACTACATATACAGTTTAGTGAAAAGCGAGCTATCCAGTCCAGGACCGCCATTTTTGGCCCCAGAGATCAACAATGAAGTTATCAGTGATATATTGCTGCTATTTATTAGGTTGCTAGGATAATGGCCCTCACTAATGGTCACCCATTCATCCATGCGTGTTTTTATTTCATCCACACGGTGCCCGCAGACACTAACTGAATCTTGTGAAGTTGTATTTGTCATTCTGTGTTGGCCTGTGTCTGGTTTTCTGCAGTACCTCCTGCACTACCTCCTCTCCGTGAAGGGAATTATGAACAGGCATGCCTGGTCCCGGACCCCCATCTCAGAGACGGCCTGGGCCCTTCTGAAGGACAGCTACCACGGGCCCCTGTGTGTGCGCCACCCACCCCAGCACCTGGCACTTGCGGTTCTATACCTTTCCCTACAAAGCTATGGTGTGGAGCTTCCTGTGGGGGCTGTGGAGTGGTGGCAGGTTAGTATGCACACTACCATGCCTTCTGCAGTCCCTCATGGCTATCCTCTGTTATTGTCTGGATTCTCCCACCGGCATTACTGGTTGTCATTCATCCTACTTTGCCACGCAGTACTTGAGGGGAAATTCTGTATTTCCCTGTATAACTGCAGTAAATAAGTGTTTAAAGTGGTTAATGTAATTTCAGGGGTCTGATTTCCCTGAGGGGTTAACACTTAACACTTTGCAGCCATATGTCTTACGGGTGGTTATTCAAGTCATTGGTATGTCTCTGTTGGTATGTAGATTGAGTAAGCTTCTTATTGACACAATTAGTAATTGTCATTGGTTCTATGCTGTGACATAGGTTCTTGCATCGGAGACTTTATTTGTAAAGGATTTTCCAGCCGACACAGGATGAGATTGGCATGCTGACCACGCATATGATTAGAGTCATGGAGTCCCCTGAGGACCCCAGGAACGCAGGGCCATAGTTCCCATATGCTTATGTGTTACAGTGCTTTATCAGCATCTCGCACAGACTCGCATGCGAGTCATTCTGCCAAACCCACACTGGTTCTTCTGGGGTTCTGGCATTATCTCATTCATGGTCCAGCCTTGGTTTTTGTCTGAGGTTCATCATATTCTTTAGTTGTTTAACCACCATGCCCCCTTCTGTCTTTCTCAGCTGATCAGTTGAATAAAACTTGGTTCTGTATCGATTTATTTACTGTTCCCACAGGTTTTCTGTGAAGAAATCACAAAAGCAGAAATAGAGTCCATCATTACTGATGTCCTTCAGCTATATGACATGGAGGCCAAATGTACATGATCATGCTACACCTTTAAGGTAGAATTTCTGACCTAGAACTCACTCTACCCTGACTGTCCTATGCCTTTCTAGCATAGAACTCGCTCCGCCCTGACTGTCCTATGCCTTTCTAGCCTAGAACTCGCTCCGCCCTGACTGTCCTATGCCTTTCTAGCCTAGAACTCGCCCTGCCCTGACTGTGCTATGTCTTTCTAGCCTAGAACTCGCTCTGCCCTGACTGTGCTATGCCTTTCTAACCTAGAACTCGCTCTGCCCTGACTGTGCTATGCCTTTCTAACCTAGAACTTGCTATGCCCTGACTATGCTATGTCTTTCTAGCCTAGAACTCGCCCTGCCCTGACTGTGCTATGCCTTTCTAACCTAGAACTTGCTATGCCCTGACTATGCTATGCCTTTCTAGCCTAGAACTCGCTCTGCCCTGACTGTGCTATGCCTTTCTAGCCTTGAACTCACTCTGCCCTGACTGTGCTGTGCCTTTCTAGCCTAGAACTCACTCTGCCCTGACTGTGCTATGCCTTTCTCTTGGAGAGCTTGCTGCTCCTTTGTTTGAATGTAAACATTAAACACGTTATATGTTTTCAGCTTGTCCTCAGACATAAACAGAAAGTGCATTAAAACACGGCAGACACCTCCTGGTGAACCCTAAAACCACCAGCTGTTTTTAATAAGAAAATAAGTCGTTATTTTCATATTGTACTGTTGTTGGAGGTAAAGGGGGGAAAAAGGAGAAAAGCTGATCGATATTTAATTTAGTCATGCTCTCACTGCTGTCTCTGTTCCACAGAGGGTCGATAAACACACAGGGCACCGGCGGATTCTGGACCGGATGGCTCTGGTTGCACATCCCCTGTTTGCTCTGCTGAGTGAACACAGAGCACGTGCTAATCTGCTCGCCAGTGAATTGCTGCTAAAATCTGATTATTTCCAAGGAGCCAGAAGACCGGAGCAGTAACTGAGCAACAGATACACAAATTTGATAGAGTCCCATTTCATTTTCTATAATGTCTCGACATGTCATCAGCAGAACTGCAGTCACATGTCCTGTGAATGAGGTTGGCAGTTTCTGTGTCAACCGATTCCAGGGAGACAACAGCACAAACGGCCCAGACGCTCCTTACGCGGGTGTATTTAAATATTCTACATTAATGCCATTGTCAATGGTATATCAGGCATCTTTTCTGTGCCTGAGCTCAGTAATTAATTTGCATAATTATGCTTGATTGCTGTTGTCTGAATTTTAATTGGAATTTGCCCTTACTTGGTAATAATTTTGCAGTTTTTTTTTTTGTTGTTCTTTTAGTACGTTGTAATTTTGATTGTTACTTTATGGCCTAGATGTCCAGTGAAGTAAATGATTAGGATTTACCAGTAAGTTTACCAGTTTGAGTTCATCCTGGAAATCCGTAGTCTGTATATACAGTCGATGCAGTGTGAGGATGCTGCCCTCACATGAGGCCAATCAGGGCTCATTAATTAAGAGGTCTTTTAGAACAGAAGCCAGGCCACACAGCAGCCCTCGGGACCTGCACTTGGGACCCCTGCACCACATGTCTGCCTGTATCTGGTTATGGGAGCTTATTCTGATTATTCATCAGTCCGAAAACTAAATGCCAGGAGTCATTAGGAGCTCTGCATCTGCATGGGACTATGGGTTAGGATCCAGGCCCAGCACTGTGAATGTTGAGTGTGCATGTTCTCCCCTTATCTTTGTTGGTTTGGTTCCAGCCCCAGCACTGTGAATGTTGAGTGTGCGTGTTCTCCCCTTTGTTGGTTTGGTTCCAGCCCCAGCTCTGTTTGTGGGGAGTTTGCATGTTCTACCTCGTGTTTATATGGAGTGGGTTCCAGCCCCACTCTATGTGAGGAGTTCATGTATTCTCCCCTTGTTTATATGGGCTTGGTTCTAGCCCCAGCTCAGTGAGTCTGAACTGTGCATTTACTCTTTCCCCCAACTACTCAGAACACGTCAGTGCTACCCTAGTTGTGTAAGTGGTTATGGATGTAGGGATGGATGCTACTGGGGTATTCTTGTTTAATATATGGTCACAATGACAGATCCACCTGACGTAGTAAGACTGAATAGCTCTCTTGCGGTCAGGCTGCAGTGAGTGAGTGAGGTTGTGATGATGGGACTTGAGGAGGGGGGGCTTGGGGGTGGTAGTTCAGTTTCTTACTGTCTAGAAAGGAGCAGGAATGTTGGTAGGACTGCCTGTGATCTTTGCTTGCTTGGGAAAATTACTTGGTCCTTGACTACTACTGCCATATATGTTCTTTCATTTAAAAAAAGAAAAGAAAAAAAACCCAGGATCTGGCCGCCATATACATGGTTCCTACAGGCATTGTTGCCAAATGAAACTACAGATTCTCAGACAGGATAGATACTGTCATGGTAATGAAATTATTTACTAATCATTTTACTGCTAGTTTTGAAGAAACCTGCTCTGTGAGGTTGTACTGAAATGATTTCAGAGTGGTGCTGACGGCTGTGGCCATGTTAGAATCTGAGCTGACCTAAATAAACATTTGTACCGTAATAAGGGGTGAGTGGAAAAGGTGAGATTATCTTTAAAATCCCCAATTCCATGTTTATTCTTGCAGGAAATCTCTGCATGAAATTGATGGTTTGTACTATTTTCTTAAGTACTTTTAAAATACGTGATGGACAGACGTTTCTTACTACTTGACAGGCAAAACGAAACACTGGAAAATCAGCTGAGTTCTCTCGCTCTCTCTCACACACACACACACACACACACACACACACCAATTCTTACTGAGAACTGAGCAGCAAATCACACGCAATGGCAGATGAGCGAATTCCTTTATCATGCCCTTTACAGATTTAAATGAATGATTTGCTGATTTATAAAAGGTCTTCCTTTATTTCAAAAAGACCAGAATTAACCAGACCAATTCCCTCAAAAATGCAGCGGCCCTGTGGCTTTCAACTTTTTCATAGCTTTTCATGAGCTGAAATCTTCCCAGCTGAAATCTTCCCAGGTGAAATCTTCCCAGGTGAAATCTTCCCAGGTGAAATCCTCCCAGTTTCCTTGTGTCATCCATTTCCTCCCCATGCATAAGCATGAATAAGCATGTGGTCCTGTATTAAAGCCCGGGGATGTATATGGAATTCCCTGAAATTTCAGATCAGCATTAAACTAATGCTTCAGATGGAAGGTGGGACTTCTATGGTCAAGGTCTTCTGGTGCATGGAGACAAAAGTTACATACAAGTGTGCCTTAGAAATTGAAATTTCACTGTCTCAACATAGTGTGTGTTTCAAGCTCATGTAGCACTATATAAAATGCTAAATTTCAGTTCTTCAACATTAAGGAATAATCTACTGTGCCTGTGTCATTTGCATCACCACTGCACATATGCAGGTAATTCACTTGGAGCCCAAAAGTTGGTTTAATTTATACAAAGCGAGAGTGTTTGAATTACCCACTTAACAAAGGCTAATTAAGAGCTTAATTAACAAATGCACACAGGCCATTAGTGTCAGACTTGAGGACTGATCTTCTGAAGGTTGTTGTTTAATGTAGTAATAAAAAAATAAACTGGCCATTGTTACACCATCTTTTTAAAACGGTGAGCTACTGGCTATATGATAACTGGGTTTATCGATTTTGGCTTTTTTGATTTTAATTTTAGTGCCATCTTGCTAAAAGAGGAAGAAAAGTCCTGTTTTGTGCCGCTTGTCCTGTTCATCTGTACCACACAGCTGTGTTTAATGGATCTATCGGCATGTCCTGTGGTCGACACCTGGCTTTCCAGCACGTCACGTCACTGAATCGCACACGTGTGTCTGGGAGCGTTTGTGTACAGTTCCTCTGTAATCTTTGTCCAGCCTTCATAACAGGGGTATCTGTGCACCAATTGAATCCTTCTAAGGACATGGGAAGTTCCAGTGCTGATCACGAACAGCTGGGTGTGTTTGTGCTGAGCGTCGCGTGTTTCCAGCTCAAACACGAGTGTTTATGAATTAGCTGCCCCTGAAGTGGCTAATCCTGAATTTGTGCATCTACCTGTCAGCATTATGTGTATGCGCACAGTGTGCAGTGATTCAGCTCCGGAGCTCAGATCCAGGGTATGATAGTGCAGCTCTTTTTGGAAATTGAACTAGTTCATCTGCAGCTTATGGCTCACTTTGAGCTACCTGCTGCTCCATTTGCCGCATTCTGATTTTGCCCAGAAACAAAGCTGTCTGTGGGTAGGACGGCGATTTGTACATTTAGCTGTAACTCACCAAAACAAATGTTTAATGTGCAGCGATTAGTACAGGGTAATAGAATCTCTGAAGGTAACAGAAGGAGTAATGCCACAGCCTGGGGTTAAAATCTTGAATCTATTTTATAGAGACAGCTGAAATTCTGCCATCCTTCATGAATGAACCCCAGGCCTACAATTTAATGGTTTGAAGAGACTAGTATTGTTTTGCATCATTTAGCTAAGGCTAAGAAGCAAAAATTAAATACACAAATTTAAGCAGCATATATTTAAAGGAAGATATGATACAATATCCAGATGTGTAGTTTAATAGCATATTTTGCCCTGTAAGAGTATGTTATTTTTTTTTAAAGAAAAAGAAGACCTTGAATTTCAACTTTTTTTGTGGCTGTAAATGCTATCTGTTCATCAGAGGGTATTTTTATCTGAAACTCATTTTTCCAAGGGTATACAAAGACAAAATCCTCACAGTTTGGCTGGACGTCTCTAGTTTGGCTAAACCTTGGAGAAAGGACACAAAGACTCAGAATGTTCTCTAACTTGGGCTTGGAGCTTGAATGAATGCTCTGCATCGGGTTACATTTTGGAGAGCAGGGCCCACAATACCAGCCAGCCTCAGACACAGTTCTCCTAAGCAGTGTATGATGCAGATGCATTTAAACATAATGATGTCACAAGAAGCCCTTGGGCAAGAGACAAACTACCAGCCTTGCAGCCCTACTGGTGTTTATGTAAAATGTTTAAAAACCCCACCCACATAGCCCCCCATTACTCTGTTCTTCAATTAGGCCCCCCCCCCCTCCCACTTCTGCAGGGCTGCTTCTAATGCTGGGCTGCATGAATTATGGAGATGTAGCACATACCACAGGATTCTGTATCATCAATAAAATATCAACGTAGTCCTCAGTGGGCGGGAGAGTGAAGCCGGCCTTACTGCGTGGGCAGGGTGCTGGAGGAAGAGAACGCGTCGGCATGGAGGGGGATTGGGGTGGGAGAGGTTGCTCTCAGTGTGGAGGTGAGGGTGCTCCTGCTGCACCTGTCTTCTCTCTGCTCGTCCCTTTCCCAGGTTCTGTCCTTCTGAGCCCAAACTGTCTCCCTGCTTCTCTATCCATTCCTGCCTTATTTTTAAGCCACTTTCACCCATCGCCTCCCCTCCTCTGTCTTCACGCGGGCCGACCGTCGACATGCATAAGCTCTTCTCCTTGCGCGCCGCCTCGTCAGAGTCCCCAGCTCGCACAGGAAACGGTGAGCGTTTAATGTGAAGAGACAAGGATCCTCCGGCTGCTGATTTGACGCAAACCGCTTCCAGGACCAAGAGGAGGCCCTTTTAAGACAGACGGTGAGACAGGCTGCACTGAGGAAGACCTCTGGAGTGGAATGTGAGAGCTTCCTGCAGAGAGGTCCGGCCCCTCCTGTACGCAGTGCACCCCAAGCTGCCTGGGGTGCCTTCTGTGTCTGTGAAGCCACATGCTATGGCCGCCATGTGTTTGCATCCTGTCAAAGGCTCGGAATCCTAGTTAACCCTCTGAACTGGCTAAGACCGCCATTCGGCAGCTGTCTATAGCCAAGAATCGTATAGGAATCATTCAATCATACAGCTAAAATACTACAATGCTTTATAATGGCTACCACCCATACAGAATTTGAGGGTTGCAGATGTATAAAGTCATGAACATCATGAATGTGTAATCCACCCATTAAGGAGGCCTAACTTTTTAATTAATTAGAAATGTGCATGGTTGAGTCTTTTCACTGGTTAATTGGGCATTCTCCTGAAGGATTTCCTTGTATGTGTTTTGGGTTAAGTGTGGGTGTTTCCGTAATGGATCTGCAGCGCACTTAAGGGCCCTCGAGGAGATTAAAGTTCCTCCTAAATGCCTGTGCATTAGACAGTCTGCATAAGATACACCCAGTACAAGTGGTGTATGTCCTCTGGTTGCATGTGAGCTTGGACTGGAAGCCTGATATTGGTATCAAACTGCATTTATGAGTTAGTGTTTCTGTAATTACAGGCTGGCCCAGCCATCCCAGCACACATGCGTCGCAGATTATCGAGGAATAAAAAGTTCAGACTTTCCATCCTGCCGTTTGGGTTTCGTATTTCTCGATAATTGTGTCAAAGTGTTTTGGCAGCGCCCGGGAACTCCAGCTCGAGATAACTGTGATATGGGTTAATATAGGTCTATAGGTATAGCAGGCAAGATGAGAGCGAAAATAACAGCAGATGCCAATCAGATATGGGAGCTGTCTGTGACATATTGTACCATAAATAAAAGATTTTTACAATATGTATCTGCCATTTTGGTTTGATGCCACAGAGGGTCTCCTGACCTGGCACCTGCAGAATCGTGGTTTTGGTTCTTGCTTTGGCTTCATGTGTAGTTTCACGTTTCTCTGATCGGTTTCCTTGTTAAATACAAGGACATTCAGTTCAGGGGAGCTGCTGACTCTAAACTGGCCATTTGTGTCTGTGCATGTGTGTTTGTGTGCCATACAGGGTGTCCCATGCCTTATGGCCTACACTTGACTATGACCCTGATGGGTTTGTCATTTACCACAGAACAGCAACCATTTCCCAGGTACTGCATGTTAACACCCTGGTGTCCTAGGGATGTTTGGGGAGGTGGTCTTTGTTGGATCTCAATGATCTTGTGAAAAAAGGGGAAAACATTAATTTCTCCTCAGTAATTTTCCGTTGGGATCAATAAAATCTATCTTAATCTTATTCTGCATTATTTTTATTGTTATTGTAGAAACAGTACATTACATATTTTTTTTTATAAATAAACTTAAATGTGACCTTAGTTTGAAAACATAATATAGGATTACAAGTGTATAGTAGAAAACTGATTTATGTTAGAATTATATGGCATAGCATTAGTTTTAGCAACTTGGCACCATTTTTTAAATAGAGTACTTTTTATTATTACTATAATGTATCGACACCAAAACATTTCCTCAGGTGATTAAAAGAACATTTTGTTCTATAAAATTGTAGGGATTTTTTGTGCTATTTCAGGCAGTCAGAAGTTTTAAATGAAAGCTCAGGGCCAAGAAGCCAGTGACTCGAGGAAGAAAGTGTGTGTGTGTGTTTATATATGGATATATAATTACCCATTGCAAGATTTTGTTGAGCAGTGCAATATATTATAAGAAGTGACTTGCGTACGTTTAAATGGCGGTGCAGCTCGCCATTTCTTAATTTGCAATTGCATTGTAATGTTAATTTTTGTAGTTCAATAATGTGTATATATACTGATTTCATGGCAAATAAAATCTTTTGTAATGTCATCAAGCACATAGGCCAGAGATAGACCGCGAAACGTGCCTGTCATAGTAGCTAATTCGAAATTATTGCCTCGGCCCTTACCACAACAGTTTCGGTCATTGGACACTACATATTTCAATTTTTAACGATAAAATGTAAGGTGCGGATACGGTTGGAGCGTTGTGTTTTGACATTGCAGCAACTTCCCATATTCGCTTAATTGTCTGTATCGTACAAGCTTCTCGGCCTCAATTAAAGAGAGAGGCACAAGTTCAGAGGATATTCGAGTTTGATCAGTAGCATGAGATCCAACATGGCAGCTACTCTTATTAATAGCGCTATTAATGCCGTTTTAAATCACTGCCCCTGTTTTTGGATATTTAGAAGTAGGAGCAGATGACCGACACATATCTAAACTAAGAGCACGGAGCTGTCCTTTTTTTGCATGGGCATTTTCATATTTTTACATAACCTTTTTTCAAGACATCAGCCGCTCCGGCGACGAGGCTGCTCTCCATCCCGCTAAAACGCCTCTCTCCTCCCGGCGCGCAGAGCCCTTGCGCCGCGGCGTGTTCGCTGACGTGCGGTGTAGTCAGGGGGAGGGAGGGATCACAGCGATGTAGAGGAGGTATGAGTGAGAAGTGCCACCTTTTCCCCTCCTACCCCATAGGCACCCTG